CATCTGAACATATTTTAAAATCAAAAAGAACATATCCCCCGTCAAAATTAATGTGTCCTTCTGCTGACCAGCATGTTACTTTTACTTGTATTAGAAATTATCAATTTGATCTATAGTTGGATGTTTACTTGCCAATTTAACAACCAGGTTCTAATCTTTTGTGTCTTACCGCAGACTGATTGAAAGTTGTTCCTTCTACTGAAACACTTCCTGGAAGAATATAATCCATAGCCATTTCTACCTCTTTTTTTTTTTTTTGGAGAGAGATTTTTTGCGATAGGGTGTGTGCGCTCGCCAGACAGAGAGAGAGAGAGACATAGAGAGAGCAATCACCCCCCAGGGGGGATGGCCACGCCGCAATCCCTTCTCCTCCATTCTCCTCTCGGGATCTTGGGCACGCACGCACACACGCCCAGCGTGAGTTTTAAGTCACCGGGTCCAGGACGCGAACCGCGTTCGACTACATGGGAGTCCAGCGACATAGCCATTACGCTAACTGCTGGTCCCTCCATTTCTACCACCTTTTTAAAGTCTGCTTCTATTTCTGGGTAAGATTAATTTAATTTCAAAATAGTATCAGAAATGTTCCTACGTATATTATAAAAACTGCAGAGAAGAGGACTTCAACAAATTTTAAGTGCTACTTTTAGCAAAAGAAAATTAAGCTTCTTCACTGTATTAAAATAAACCTTCAAATATTTGAAGATGGTTATGTGCTATGAGAGTAACTCAAGAATAAGGGACCAAAATCTGTCAAAAAGCCAAGTCAAATCATATTTGGATTAATTCTTGTTTGATTTTATAAATCAAGTATGTATATTGGTTAATACTTTTTGTCTCCTATGGTCAAAATAATATTTGGATACATAACTTAGAATTCAAACGAGCAAAAATCTACCTATAGAACAGGGTACTTCATGATTTTTGTATATATGTTCATTCAGCTAAACGAACATATTTGTTAATTTAGTCATTACTGGGCTCAACTTCTGTCACAAGAATCTAATTAAAAGTTAGGTCCAAAGCTTATATTTACTATCCTCAAATTACTGTCTTTTAAAACACAGAAGTATACTTTTTCTAAGGCAACGGGATCATACTGTATGCAAGCTTTACATTTAGCTATCTCTGACTTTGTATTCCCTCTATATTATCAAATATGCTTGACTGCAGAAAAATGCACAGTACTATTATAATTTATCTAATAACCTGGATAATTTTCACTATGTTAAATAAACCAAGAAGAATATCTGTGTGTATATATTTACTCGTGTGTGATTCAATATCATGAGATAAATTCTTAGAGGCAGAATGAATGTTTTTGGTATTTACTGTCAGTTATTTGAAATTTTCATGCCTACTCAAAGTCCCAGTCATCATATAAAGGGGACGTCTTCACACCATACCCTTGCTAACATGAAACATTTTAGGAAAGAAAAAGGGCTTTTTGAATTTGGAATTTGATATTAGAGAAAAAGGAAAAGACAGGAGCACTGCTTTGTTTCCCAACTGAGGCCATGATATGTTTTTATGAATTTATTATAGTTACTTTCATTCTAGTTGGGATGAATAATCTCTTCTATATTTCTCATATTTTTTTAATCCTCTTCACTGATTTGTAAGAAAGTATTGTGTTTTTTTTTCAGTTACAATATTAAGAAATCTCCTAACCCTGCCCCTTTCAGTGTTCTTTCTTTTTTCTAATCTGCTTTTGAAATCTTGTACCACACAATGCTTCCCACACAAACTTCTTAACACATAAGGTTGGTTTTCTATGGTTACTAGCACTATGTATTGATACAACTACTACTTATTGCTTTTCCCACTGTTCGAATCCCAAGAGGAGAATGGAGCAGACAGATTGCAGCTGGCCATCCTTCTCTCTGTGTCTGACAAGTGCATGTGCCCTACAGCAAAAGCTAACAACAAAAGCAGATTCTTTAAACTCTTGCCTTTGTTCTACTCTACTTCTCAAAAGACCTATGCCCTGCTTCACTTCCTCTAGTCTACCTCCTCATTCAGTTTCTAACTATCCATTAAGGCTCAGCTCGGGGACTTCTATGAAGGCTTACCAGGCCACTCCAGCACAATTATCACTCCAGCACAATTATGTCAATCATCTCACATCATCCATATATACTTACCAAATATTTCCATCATTATATCAATAAATTAACTTTTCTTAGAGGTGGGGCATCGCCACAATTTTAATACATACAATTAGTTAGGATATCTCAATGCCTTATCTACTTTTCCATCAAAATGCTTTTCTCACTATGGATTTCAATAAATACATTTGGCTATCTTTCTTCTTCCTTTACTTTCTAGAACCTAGAGTGCTTCCTTCCTGTTCTTTTTGTTTCATATACCAAGAGCACACAAAACAATGAACTCAGCACATTTCAAGCATATTTATTATATTATGTCGTGAAGCAAGCACAACTGCTGAACAAGATAATCTACCACTGAAGATGTACCTAGGAAAGACCCATGCTATCTATCACATTCTATTACCTCTCCCCTTTCCTTTCTCCAAGACTTGTTTTGAGAGATTGTTGCTATAGGGTGTACGCATGTGCCAGACAGACAGAGACAGGAAGGAAACGAGAAATCATGGGGGTGGGGGGGTGGCAGCCATGCTGCAATCCCTTCTCTTCCATTTTCCTCTCAGGATTTTGGGCATGCATGCACATGTGCCCGCCACAACTTTTAAGCTGCCAGGCCAGGGACTCAAATCATGGTCAACTATGTGGAAGTCTAATAGCATAACCATTACACCATCTGCTGGTCCCAAGACTTAATATTTTAATGTGATTTTCAATACATTTTCCAATAATTTCCTGTATTTCCAACTTCACTAAACACAGTAATAATCTGTGTTAATTCACTGCAATGTACTGACAACAAGCCAAACAGTGTCACTCCCTACCACCAATCAGAGCAAACCTAAATCAGTGAGCTCTGGGAACAGTGTTGGTTAGTAGAGTATAACCCAGACTAGTACCATACCTGTTCTACAAGTTGAAACCAAGAATAAGCACTTTGAAACCTTTTCTAACAACTTGACCTCATTTCACTGTATCTTGAAAAAGTCAAGGTCTGGGATGAACTGGAACTGAAAAACAAAAACTGTCCATTTACTACTGCTTGGAAGTGCCGCTCTAGAATATGCTGACAAATCTTTTCCCAGTACTACTGCTCAGAAAATTCTGTTTTCATATGTGGGTTAATAAAGAGGCTTGTTAGAAGGATATAAAGAGGCCAAGATGTTCCTTGCAAGGTCAAAGAGAGTGAAGATCTTAGCAGGGCATACCTAACTGAGGAGTTCTCAGGCCACCCACAAACTGAACTGACTGTAAACAGCCATTCCTTTTATCATGTCCTAAGTTAATCCTACTTTCACTTGCCTGGTAATTTTATTTCAGTATTTTAATTAGTATCTATTCCACCTCTTTTCTGTCATGTACATTTCTCACAAACTAGATTCCATTTACCCTGAGTTCAATCTTTGAAACTCAAATTAACACTTACTCTTTTCCTACGACTTCCTCCGACCTGCACTGAGAAGCTCTCCTTCAGATAATCAGTAAGAAAGCACTATAAAACATACTTAGAAGCATATACTCATTTATCCTATAATGACTCATCTGTCTCATACTCATACTGCTCTTTCTACTAAAGAAGATGTTAAGGTCTTTCACTGCTATACCGGGAAAGCAGGATTACAGCCATCACAATAACCAAGCTGGTTTACCAAGAATCCATCACTTCACTATGCTATGTTACCAAGGTATTTTCAGTACCGTCTCTTACTTGAGACATCATTACACGTGGTCCTTCTTCACCACTTGTCTCAATGGGACCCACTGTTACTAATTAGACCAGTCTAGACCTTCTTTGGTTCACTTCTGTGTACTACTGAACTGGAACTCTCAACTTGCTTTTCCCCTCTGGTCAACTATATAGGACTCATCAGCAAATACATTGCCCAGCTCTATTTTTCTCAGCACATTTCCAACAGGACATACCTTTTTAGATCTCTCTGTAAAACGAATAGTCTCTGCTGGGTCACATCCTCATTCCTGGGTACTAAGTGTAACTGATACCGCCACCCCATCCTAAGTAAATTTCCTGTCATCTCTGTTTATACTCTCACTTGGAGGGGTTTTCCTGTACACCACCTACATGAGGAAAACTGTACGCTTTATAATACCTGACTGTCCTCACTGTGTTTTGGATTTTTTTACTTCCCACAGCCCTTTAAGTCTAGCTTTCTTCTTTCTTGTACTGAAATTGCTTCAAAAAATATTTGCACTCTTAAAGACACCAAAAATTGTACTCAATTTAAAAAAATGCTAATTAAAAATAAAAACAGGTAAGTACTACAAAGTAGAACTGTACAGAAAAGTAAGCGATATGAATTAATTTTTCTTATTTAAGGAAAAAACTACCTAAATATTTATAAACTGGCTTCCTTTATCAAAATAATTTGGAAGCTGCACTATATTACCTTTTACATCTCTGCCATACAATTGTTTAAGTTTCTGTATTTCTTGTTACATTATAAAGCATGGCTAGGAAATAGAACTTATTACACTGGGGCACTTTCCCTCTCTCTCCATAAATACTCTTGCAAGGTGAAATGTTGCATATTAGATAGTTTAAATACCTACAACCTGTTGTTGTTATTAGTGTTTTAGACACAAAAGAAATGTGAATGAGGTCAGCATAGAAAAAGCTGGGGCTAAGGGATAGTACAATTTCCCTAGGCAGCCTGTTTTAAACCCTTTCAAATTTCAAGTTTTTCTCCAGATTAGAGAGAAAAACCTTGACAACTATTTCTACTCTTGCCTCAAATCCTTTAAAACAGTGGACACAAAATAGACATAGAGAGCCCTGAAAAAAGTCAAGCTAGAGAGTACAAACTCATTCCACGAAATTTGAAAAATAAATTAATAATAATAAGGCTAATACAAATACTTCTCACACTTTGTACTTACCAATTTGGCTTGTGCTTCTGCAATTTTTCGGTTATTCTCTTCCAGTATTCGCTCTAGCTCCTCACGTTTTGCACGTTCTTCCTCCTAAAGGGGAGGACATGTTAAGATGTTAGAAAAAATAAAATGTTTATCGTTACTGGTAAATATTCACTAATCTTCCTCTGCACTTTTTTGATCTGACTTACAGTGTAGCTTTACAGCTACTTTCTGTCTGACAAACGATAAACTGTGCAGCCACTAAAAATGGTCTCTAGCACTAAATTCAAATCATCCCTCCCAGTCCAAACAGCAACCGACTAAACCCTCCCTAATGATAGTCTCCTGGCAATTATTACTAATACTTTAATATCACACAAATCAACAAGGACAACTACAAAACTGGATATTTACCAAATTAAAAAAATAATATATAAAATATAAATAAAGTGAATATTTGTCTCACCAATTATGTATACCTACGTATTCTTTACCTATACTCCTTTAATCAGCATTAAAAGTTGAATATTTACTGTCTTGTCCAGTGTCCTGCAGAGTGTGCTCCTCGGCTGCCATACGCGCCAGCTTCCTCTTTAAAATGATTTGTACTGTTAGCTTGGCAATACCTGCATCGGCAGCTCAACCATTTATAAAGAAACAACATACAAGGAAGGCTGAGCTGAGGAATGCAGATGTTTATGGTAAGAAGGAACAAAAAATGTAATTCATCATTCCTAAGGCAAACAATTAATAAGAAAAATACATTTACTGTTAGTGAAAAATACAAATGGTAATCCATACTTCATGGAACTAAGGGCTTCTTCCATGGGGAAAATGGACTTAACATTCAGATGTTGACAATTTCTAAAGGCAGCTTATACTGTCATCTACAGTCTGATCTGAAATTCAGGAATCCAGGGGATGCATGGTCAGGAAATAAAATTCTGTAATTTCTTTTTTCTTGGAGAATTTAATGAGATTTTATAATGCAAACTATATGAAGGATTGCTTGATGGTTTGGGCAGTGTTCAGATCACAGCATACAAATTCAAATAATTTTAATATTTGGAAAGACTGTCAGAGGGTTGTGTCCGTGTTAAAAAAAATAACAACAAAAAAAAACTGTTAATATGAAACGAAAAGCAAACGAAGAGAAAAAAATCTTACTATGATTAATAACTCGCTACAAGACAGCACCATTACTCCAAAATATCTTCATTATTAAAAGCACTGACATAAATAAAAATTTCATACATTCGATTTACAGTCTGTGAAATCCACTGTAAATGTAGACATGTTTATCTAGTTAGACAGGACAAGGGAAAATGCATTTTAAAAACTAAGTTTACTGGAAAACAAAGAGATTTAATAAGATATCAACTTGTCCACTGTAACACCAAAAAGAAAAATGACAGTAAGTCATATATTTTGAGCCAAATAGTTCAAGAAAACATAACTACAGATTTCCTATGTCACACATCAATGGGATTCATAGTCATTATGCAAACTTAAACTGGACACTCAGTGCTCTAAGGTAATTTGGCTTGAGTGTTTCAGTGACTTTCACCAAGTTTTAGGATCCTGGAGTAATCAGTGCAAACAAGCCATAAAGCTTCAGTAGCAAATTACTGTCTCACAGAAAGACATTTTCAACTTCTGCTCCAGCTGCTGATAAAACAAATCATGTGTTTAGCTTGACTCCAGACAAGGACAACCTGTTCCTTCATAACTCTCTAGAGAAAAAAAGGAGTTGTTAGTAGATACTAAAAAAGTGAATGAATAATCTGGACATTTTTCCTAAAAAGATTGCTTTAAACACATTAGAAAAATGGAGGGTCTATGATCAGAATGCTAGAATTAGTCCATTGTGTTGAAGCAGGATTTGGGGAAGGGGTGAGGAATAAGAAGGAAAAAAAAGAGTGAGAAAACCTATTTATCAAAAGCAGGTACTGTCACTCAATGTTAGGCCCTGCTCTTTTTAATCTGACTGAAGGCAAAGAGCCTCTCACAGTCTAGGTAACAGAGTAAATAAACAGAAAAGAATGTGCAACCACAGGTGGATTTTCAACCTTTTTCCTTTTACCACTCCCTGTCTCCCCACACCCTCCCAAAAAAGAATGTAAGTCCTGCAGCCATGGCAAAAGTTTCAAACACTTCTCAAATATGTGAGCCAGTTCCATTAAATCAGAAAGTATCCTTGAATATGTTTTATGAAAGTAACTTTGAAGTATCAGTCAGCACTTCTGAATAGGCTAAAAAATTAACTTTCGCAGCAATGTGAGTTTAGATGAGAAAGGAATTAGATAGTCTGTATTCCATCTCTTTCTGAACTGAGCAGGAGGCACAACCCGACACTGAAAGTTTTGCCATGGACTGTCTCTACTTTCCAAACGACCGAGCGTTACCTCTCTAGCTTTTTGTGCGGCAAGCTCAGCTTGTCTCTGTCGCTCGAGTTCTTCGAGCAACTGCTTTTCCATGATGCGCTTGGCTTCCTCCACCCTGCGGAGAACTTCCCGTTCAATTTCATCCTTTCTTTTCTCCAGTTCTTCCTCTACCCTTTTTGCCACCAATTCTTCCACTCTTCGTGCTGTTTCTTCCTCGATGAGTTTTTCTTCTATTTCCTGCTGTCGACTAACAAACAAAGTGGGAAAAGAGTGACTTAGTATGAAAACGCTCCTAAGAAGCTAAGTATCAAACCACTGAGCCTGATTTTACTCAATGTTTTTCGATTTTGCTTTAATGTCACATTTAAAGATATGATAAATACCAAGATATTAAGCGATACATTAATTAAACATAAAACTGGTTGTCAGCACATGGTGTAGTAGTTAAGTCACTGAACTCCCATGTGGCTGACTGCAGTTCGAGTCCTGGACTCAGCAGTTTGAAACACTCTGGGCATGAGAAGAGAAAGGAGGAAAAGGGATTGCTGCAAGGCCAGCGCCCCACCAGGGGTGCAGGGCGGTGGGGAAGGGGGGAGGGGAGGTGATTTCTCACTTTCCCTCTCATTGTCTGGGTCTCTCCAAGCAAGGGCACATACCTTAAGAAAAAATTTCCTTTAAAAAGTAGTAATAATAAGGGAACCAGCAGTTAGCGTAATGGTTATGTCGCTGGACTCCCAAGTAGTCGACCACGGTTTGAGTTCCAGACCCGGTGGCTTAAAATTCACGCCGGGCATGTGTGCGTGCGTGCCCAAGATCCCGAGAGGAGAATGGAGAAGGGATTGCGGCGTGACCATCCCCCCTGGGGGGGTGATTTCTCGCCTTCTGTCTCTATGTCTCTCTCTGTCTGTCTGGCGAGCGCACACGCCCTATAGCGAAAACCTCTCCAAAAAAAAAAGTAGTAATAATAACAACAAAACAACCATAAAATTGTTCATCCCGTCTATTACATTAAGACTGGTATATACAAAAAGCTTATTAATTCATTAGCTTTAACTTAGGAAATGTACAGTAAATTTGAAACAGGCAATCTACTTTTGTTATCAGTATTATAATGAAACAAGTTATTGAAATAAATGGATTTAGTAATTTGCCAATCAATTCAGTCTAAGGATTGGGCTACAGGAGTCAGGAGAAACTTTTATGTAGCAGGGAATTCAGACTGATTCATTTCCCCCTCCCCTAAGTAAAGACAGAATAAACACTGACACACTGCTAAACCAATAGCAGCACGCAGCTGTATTAAAAACCTAGACCAAGTAAGGTTCTAAACTTTAGATCCTTTCTTGTGTCTTTTCTTTTGTTAACTGATTTTCAGCTAAATGCGCCCAAGATTGGAGAGTAAAAAGGTAGAAGTGTGTATCTGTTGTAAGAAAAAGTTCAACAAAGCATGATACTACTATTGAATTATTCTCATCCCATTTTGATATTATAAACAAATTTATATGCTTAAAATAAAATTCTGTGCTAGAAATAATGACATTTAGCAAGGTAGTACACTATCATGGAAACCTTTTTTTTTTTTTAAAGATTTTTTTGCTATAGAGTAGGTGTGCTCACTGGAGGCACAGAGTGACAGAGACAGAAAGTGAGTAATCCCCTCCCCCCAGGGGGTATGGTCACACTGCACAATGCTCTCTCTCTTCTAGTCTCCACTTAGGATCCTGCCTGCACGGATGCACCGGCATTGAGTTTCAACAAGCCTCCGGGTCTGGATCTCAGCCCCCTCCAGCCACATGAGTCAGCCCTTCAACAACCACACCTGCTGGCCGTCTATTCCACACCGGTGATAGCCAACGGTAGCACCAATTCTACTCTGAATTGCGGCTTATATAAAGAAGAAGACTATAAAAGATCTCATAAATATGTGATTATACGTTAAAATTGGAATATTCTAGATACTCAGAATACAATAAAATTAATTTTACTGGTTTCTTTTTAAATGTGGCACCTAGAAAATTTTAAATTGTGCATGTTGCTCACATTATACTTTTACTGAACAGCACTCTAAGACAGTAATTTGTATTGAATGAATGAATTCAGAGGCTTTTGTATAGTATTTAAGTCCTAACAGGCCAGTTTATTAATGCTTCAGCTTTCTTACAACTTACAGAATTAAGTAAAACCTGCAACCTTTGAATATCTTTTGACGAGCATTTGACTACATATATATGAGACAGTCAGGTACTCTTCAGTAAAGACAGTACAGTTTCTATGTGCCCTTTAAACATTCCAATCTAATTCAACTCAGTTCTATTCTTGGGTAAGAATTGTCTTACCCAAGGGCTTTCAATTTCTTCTACTTATTCACAGTGATATCATACTAACATGAATATATACCTGTAACCTTCTGACTGGTTTTTAGTTTCTACATTTATCCTCTAAGTTTGTCTGTAGAAAAGACAGTAGGTACTTAAGAAAGCTTAATTACCCTAGATAGTTACAACCCCCACTCTGGGAACCCTGCTGCATATTTTGTAAGTACTTTCTTCCCAAAACTAAATTTAAAAAAGAGTGGAGGGAAAGTTCAGTGGCCTGGTGGTGAAGGTGGCTGGATCCCACATTGTCAACAATGTAGTCCAAGTCCCAGACAAGACAGCTTGAAAAACATGCCAAGGGTCCCAAGTGTGTGCCTAAAATTGCGAAAGCAGGGAGAAGAAATTGCAGCGAAACTGTTCCCCATGGGGACGAGATACTTTCTCCTCTGAATACATACATCCTCTAGAAAGGAGGGAAAAAAAAAGAAGAAGAAAGGATATAAAAGCCTAGAACTAACAACTATGTTCCTTTTCCTTTTTACCTTCCAATCAAATACAATATTATGGTAGTTTCAATAAGGCTTTATCTATAGCTGCTCAGTAACAGAGTAGAAACCCTAGGAAATCAGCATGTCATTGGAAATCAAACTACATTTCAATATAAAATGTTTCTGTACTTCATCCAAAGAGAAAATAAAAGATGAAAAAAGTAAACAGCTGACAAGTGCTGTTGTATTTAAGAATAGTAATGTGCTACCTTTTACAAACTTTTCATAATAGACTAAAAATATCCAAATACATACTGTTTTGCTACTTGGTTCTTAAGAAATGAGTAAATGCAGAGAAGCCTAAGAAGGAACAATATTTAAAATTTCAAAAATTATACAATGCAACTCTTAACTATCAATGCTACGTAGATCAGAGAGCAATTCAAAAAGGACAATGCAAAACAGTTCCAATTAAGACTTTCACAGAAGTGAAAAGGAAAGAAAAGAATAGGATAGGCACTAGGTAGGCTCATCAATAAAAAAGTTGCCAACTTAGGAAATTAGTGAAGATGGAAGAGACCTGATACATATTTAGCTTTCATCAGGCAGCCAAGCTGTCTCTAGCACAATGGCTAACAGAGCCACACTTCCTCAGATTTGCTCGGTAAGGAAAAAAAAAAAGCCAAATAAATTATTACTCACGGCAAAAGCCAAATTAGCACGGTACAAGCTTTGTGTTTCTGCTCCTACTGATCACACAAACCAGAGGGGCCAAATGACAGGCAGTACTGGCATGCCTGGTGGCAGGTTGCTCTGGTACTAAGGCGTCAATTCTGACCGGAGCTTGCTTGCTTTATAGCCCAGAGGGGAGGCAAGTGGAAAGTCCCATTCTCAACTGAAACAGTGGAGAATGAGAAATGGCCTAGTGCAGGTTCTCACAAGGCTGCTTATCTCTGTTAGCTCCTGGAGGAACTGCAGGGCATCCCACCATGACCGCAATTAAGCTTTGCTGATGTGTCCTGTGTGAAGATGGTTAAGGTCAGGCTACCACAGCAGAACTATTCTCCTCTAAGAATTAGCAAAAATATCATTCTTGATGGTATTCCTATTAAGATTAAAAATGCTACGTTAGTAATCAAAAAATGTAAAGTCAGTATTTAGAAGCAGTGCTGAAAAAAGTTAAAGTTCAGTATTACTTTATCCCCTTCCCATCTACACTAAATTTAGAAAACCAATGGGCACACATACAAATGATTTAAGCGTAAGTTCACCTTTACTGATGGTAAATTTATCATGAGAAGGCTGCTATTAGGCCGACTCCTATAAGACACACTGCAACTCTGACAGGAAAATACATACACATAAAACACTTTTGATCTTTACTGTCTTACAAAAAAATCTATCGCCTAACATCTAATACTTATAATACTTATAAACTTTTGCCATAGTTGTCACAGCCTCCCTCCCCAAGTGAAGCTCTTTAAGTACTTTTTTTAAAAGATGCATTCATTTAATCTTATTTATTTGTTCATTCGTTTTAATCTGACCAGAGAGAGATAAAGAGGGAGGTGAGAAAGTGAGAAAGCAAGCCACTAGATCCAGGACTCAAACCATGGTTGGCCATGTGGGAGTGTCCAGTGCCTTAACCATCAAGCCACCTGCTGGCCCCAAGTGAAGCTCTTTTTTGTCTACACTTCCTTCTGCTCTTCTGGAGAATTCACTCTCTTGCCATCATCATCTGCTACTGATGAAGGGTAATCAAAATCTTCAAGTTTTCAATGAAAATGGTATAAAACTAGGTCTCCATTTTTTTCATTCTCTCAAATATTTAAAAACTGCTAGTCATAATCAACTTTAATATGTTAATTATTAAAACAAAAACAAGATCCAGCTTCTGTGGTCCAGTGAGTAGTGTACTGAACCCCAGTGCTGAAAGTCACATGGCCAACCCAACCCTGCTGATCTGAAACACTCCAGGGTGTGCACATGCCCAAGGTTGGTCCTGTTGAGCTGGAAGGCTAGGGAAAGGGATCCAGACACGACAGACCTTGTAGTGGCTTACTTCTCCACTCTCTCACATGAATGAAATACATTTTAAAAAATCCTGAGAGGTCAGCCTGTGGCACAATAGTTAAGGTGGCTGGATCCCACACAGCCAATTTCTTGTTTCAAGTCCCGGACCCACCTGCTTGAAAAACACACCAGGCACTTGTGCATGTATGCCTAGAATCCTGAAGAGAGGGAGCAAGGGAGGAAAGAGGATTGCAGTATGGCTACACTCATGGAGAGAGGGTGTGTGTGTGTGTGTGTGTGTGTGCGCGAATGCACGCACACAGGCACATGCACACAGACATGCTGTCTGTCTGTCTCTAGTGAGAGAGCACACAGGCCTTCTGACAAAATTTTAAAAATAAAAACTTGGGAAAACAACAAAGCAAAGAGGGTGTAGTATTTTAGCACTGTTAAATGAGAGCATGAATTGGTACAAAGCAACTGATACTATTATTTTAATAAATCTTTAAAATGTGTGAACTCAACCTGAGAAGTTTACATCTAGGAAATCAATTATCAGCACAATATTTACTTAGTAGTTAATAGGTATGAAATACCACGCCAAGAGCTTATATACCATGTCATCATGTAAATCTCACAATTATTCTATGAAGTGAGTATTAATACCCTCGAAAAATTGTTTATTCGCTTATGTATTTCATGCTGTTTAAGAGAGTCAAAGAAGTGAGACAGGATTTCCAAAGGAGTCTTGTAAGGCAACAATGACCCAGTCTCCCCAGAGCCCCAGCTAGACAGGATTGGGCCTGGCATGTTCAGCTTGACCAAGAACTGAACCCAAGGCCTTCCCGTATGACTTCAGCACTGTGCAGCAGTACCCCACTTCCTGTGCCATTGTGGCTGGGCCAATATCCTCATTTTTAATCAGGAAACTAAGGCCAAGGAGTTTAAGTTTCTGGCAAGCTCATTGGCTATTGCTGAACTGTGACTCTGAATCCAGAAAGACTTCAAAGCTAGTGATCTTAAGCACTATTATTACCCTGCACTGTTTCTACAAGACAAATGTTGAGAGGCACAGACATCTACAAAGATTTAACCACCAAAATGACTGAAAACAATTTACAGGGGCCAGGAGTTAGAGTGGCGGTTGAGGTGCTGGACTCCTACATGGCCAACTGCAGTCACCTCCCTGATCTGGTGGCTTGAAAATCAAGCTAGGTGAATGTGCTTGTGTGCCCAAAACCCTAGGAGGAGAATGGAGAAGGGACTGTGAAGTGGCCATCCACCCCCAACACCATAAGCAGGGTGACTTTTTACTTTCCCTCTCTGTCTTTTACCTGGAAAGTGCACATGTCCTATGGTAAAAACCTTACAAATTTTTTTTAGAAAGTGCTTGTGGCATCAGCTAGGTCTTATGCTCTCTTGTTGTCTTAAACGCTCTGATCTCCCAAAGTATGTAGCTCCATATACTGAATTTGCTCATAAAAGCTCTTCCTTGTTCTCACACGAGCTCTCCAAGTATTCTTTAAGTCTAAGAATTACTCTTACAGGTCCCAGCTTACTTTAGATGCTCAAATTTAGAAAGCCCTTAATCTGCCAAGCTCGTAAATGCTAAGGACATCTTTACTGAGATATGGCAGGCTGGGTAAGTTACCATTAACATTTTCCTGATTGGTTGCAAGTTAGTTTTACCTGTTTTGTTCCCCCCCACCCCAACCACTAATAAAACATGCATATTTCATCTCTAAAGAAAACAAAGAAAATGGTAATGTTCATGTAGAGGAAGGGCAGGAGTGAACCACATTGAATGGCTAGGACAGAGGTACAGATGATCTTGTGAAATGAATTTTGAGCTGTGTGAATTAGCTATTTAAAAATGAGAATTTTTAAAACTTAAGATTAATCTTTTTGGGAACCAGCAGTTAGCATAATGGCTATGTCGCTGAATTCCCACGTAGTCGCTTCCTGGACCCGGTGACTTAAAACTCATGCCGGGCGTGTGTGCGTGCATGCCCAAGATCCCGAGAGGAGAATGGAGGAGAAGGGATTGCTGCGTGACCATCCCCCCAGGGGGTAATTTCTCGCTTTCTGTCTCTATGTCTCTGTCTGTCTGGCGAGCGCACGTGCCCTATAGCGAAAACCTCTCCAAAAAAAAAATTAATTTTTTTAAATGCATTAAGATTATTACTTGTAAGATCACTTCTTAAATTCACCAGGTTCAGTTGGGCTGCTGCTATGTAAGTTATATTAAATAACATTATTTACTGAGGCCCATTATATGCCAAGCACAGTCTATGTATTTTCAATATACTTCCTCTAATCCTAAGTAACACAGGTATTTCCATTTCACAGAACAAGTTAGGAGAAGGTGAACTGATTCAAGGTCTCAGAATTATAAGTGGTGACCCAGGCTTGGAGACAACTTACAGCCCTGTAAACCACATAGCTGAACAAAGGTTCAGATCCCCTGAAAACGAAAGGTGCACCACAATCCTGATTAACTAGAGGGCTAGGGGAAGGAGATCATAGGGTGACAAGACTCTGCTGGGGGAGCCTACCTAACCCCAACCTCTCAAGTGGTACAAGAACACTCTTCTCAGAAATAAACTAAGAAAGAAAGAAAAAGAATTGTAAGTGGCAAAGCAACCTGATTTTCAATCTTACCACAGATTTCCTAATTGGTTAAACTCAACAGATAATTCTTATTTAACCGTCTTTCCATCTAATCCTAGACTTCTTCAAAGTACACTTGGTATTATGCATTCTGTGTATCTTACCCGTTTCCATCATGGGCTTTTTTCTTCTTCTACCTTACTCTAAATAGACATTCTTTTAGTTCTTTGAACTGACTGCTCTTTTCTTGCCACACACTCCCTGGGTCATTCCATCTACACTAAAGGATTCAATGACAGCACCACACACAGTTTCTGGCACTTACTAAATGCACAATAAACATGAGTTGAATGAATAACCTACTCTATAGAGATTTTCAGTTAGACAGTTACTTTCCCCCATTCCCAAGATTTCAATGCCCAGTCTAAATAAACATTGTTTATATTACATCCAAGACATTAGACCACATTAGAGTGCTTATTATTACATTAACAGGAATGTTGTGTACAGGTAGCTGCTGGCCATACCCTTCCCCCTCAAAAATGCTAAAGGCAGTTCCCTGCTTCTCTCAATCTAGAATCATACAGCTGTTTTATTTCCCATCATCTCATCCCTGGATTTCTACACTGTCCATGTGTAGGTCACTAAATTCTTCTAATCATTTTTTCTTGGGGGGGGGAGAGGTTCTTACTATAGGGCCTGTGCGCTCGCCAGAAAGACAGAGAGAGACAAAGAGCAAGAACGCTGCAATCCCTTCTCCATTCTCCTCTCAGGATCTTGGGCATGCAGGCACATGCGCCAGGCATGAGTTTAAGTGACCGAGTCTGGCACCGGAACCGTGGTCAAATACATGGGAGTCCAGCAACATAGCCATTTCACCAACTGCTGGTCCCATTCTAATCATTCTTTACATGCCAAGTGTCCTTTCACTTTTCCTAGGAATCTTATTTTTCTGGTGAAAGAGATACTATTATTCTTTGGAGATATCCTTGGTTTTCACATGGAAAAATGATCTCCCAGATGTCTTGGGCAATTTTTCATGTTCGCCTATTGATAGTCTTTGAAATCTCTATCTTTATAGCTAAATGCCTTGTTCCAAACAAAAAGAAGATACTACCTAATCAAGTTTACTGCTAACAATTTACTAGAACTTTGCATGTATGTCACAGGCGGTTCTACATACAGGAAAAGTGAGAGCCGTGCAACGTGGAAGCAAACAGCTCCAGACACTGCTTCCTCTGTAACGTTATGCTGTGTCCCAGTCTCTACATCACTTTCAGAACCTGTGCTGAAAATTCTACACAAATCCAAATGCAGAACAATTCGAAACTCCCAGACAACTCAGTACACACACAGCTGGTTTAGTAACATTAAAAACTCTAATATTCCTGCCTCATGAGCATTTTCTAAACATCACCAAAAAACTGAACACAGAAGACTGCTTACGTGGGAAATTGGCACATCTGCTTAATTCTACTTTTCAATGTGGGTTTTAGGACTTGAATACCCACAGCATCAGAATATCATGATCTTAAAGATGGAGCACAATATTTTAAAACTAAAAGTTCATTTCACTTGCGATTTATCCCCATTTTTTCGTTACTTCTTCCAGAAACACGTGATTCTACGTAACTACTGTGACTCTAAATTTCC